GCTCAGGTCTGCTAAAAGTGCGAGTGACCCTCCCTCGTGTGGAGTTGCTCCTTAGACTTAGAGAGAAAAGCGCAGAAGGAATTTCGTGCATAACCTTTGCCAGCACTGGTGCCTTTGCTCCTGCTCATCCTGGCTGTTGGCGTCTGTCCGACCTCCACGGATGTTGCTGGCCTCCTCAACTCAAGGCTAGCAGTTCTAGCAGAGCCCCCAGCTCTGCTTCACCTAATCTTCAAAGCTGAGCGACTGTTCTCAATGGCTTCATCCTGCCCTTACCCATTAGCGACGGTGGTGTTCCCTTAATGAGCTAGTCCCCTGCCTTGGCTGGCGCCTGAGCTGGTCACACCTGTTTGCCATCAGGGCTGTCTGGGCCCAGCCCAAGCGCTGGGCTGCAGGTGGTGGGGCTGGATGAGGGGTGGGTGGGGAGGGCTGGGTTCCTTATGCTTTGTGCCCTATGCTTATTGGAGGGGGCAGTTTCTTGTACCCCTCTTCCTCCCACACTGTTCTAAGTGGGGGAGGGCTCTCTGCTTTGTTTTTTGTTATTTGGAAGGAGTAATAAGGGAACTTGAAGAATACCTCATCTTTAACTCCTGCCTGGAGTTTGAAGTAGTGAAGAGCTAATCAGGCATCTTTGAGGAGGGTTTGGTGTTCTGTGCTGCTGACCCCAGGGCCCGGTGTGATAGGAGCAGCATCACATGGTGAATGCAGAAGGCGTACCCCTCTCCAGCCCTAGGCCCCACAGTATTTGGAAAGCGATCGTAATCCCTCGGTTTAGAGCCCACGGCAGGACTGGGGGGCCCTTCCTTAAAGGGAGCCCTTGCATTCATGAAGCTGAAGGAAGTTTTGATTTGGTTGAAAAAATCTCATTCCTTTTTATGGCCTGGACATAATTGGTTCTTTTCTATTGGCCATCAGTGATGTCATTCCGACCCTCATAAAGAAGGGGAAATCACACCTGTGGACTCGGTGCATAAAATTTCATTGGGCAACAGTAATAAGCATGGCCAGATGATGTTTGGGCAGTTGAGGAGCTCTGTGCCCAGTGATTCCAGCTGCATGGAGACCTGGGCACCATAAACCTGACTGCACGTTCATGCCCGCAGGCTAGTCCAGGGCCCACTGCCAGTGGCTCTTTTCCTGGGATCAGTATCTGGTAGGAACTCACGGCTTTCAGACCCTTTATGCCAGGGGGACTTTTGCCCTCTTCCTTTCCAAATTCGTGGAACCATGTACCCCTTGTTACCCACGGACCGTAGCCTTAGGCTCCTAAGAACCCTGGAGCCAGGTGTGACCTTGAGCCGTAACCACCATGCTTACCATGCTACCTGCCTCTCTGAGGCCCCAGCGCTGGCCTTCCTAGGGACTGTAAAGAAGTCCATGTGCATGTGCGTGACTGATGCCTTGTGCAGTCGGAAGCCTGAGGTCCTACTTTTTGTTCTCCCCTTGGCTTGTTGTGTGATCAAGCAAATCCTTTTTCTTCTCTGGGCATCACTTTCCTATTTTATGTAGGGGATGACAACTACTCTGACCTACCTTTCTCACCCAGTTTCTCTTGGTGCTCTCTCTGAGCTGGGTAGGGTTCTGTCATAGAAATGTGTAGCTGTCTTCCCATGAGGTAACTGGAAGTTTAGGTTTTGCATTTGGCTCTGTGTCTCTTGTGGACCTGGGCCTGGACACTGCTGCATCTCAGCTGCTTGTGCCTTGGAGTCACAGGGCTAGGACCAGCCACGGACTGAAGGACTCCGCAACCTGAGTGCCTGTGAGTCTGCAGACTGCATGTAGACCTGCAAGTCCTGGAGCCTGAGCGAGAATTACAGTCCCATCATGCCCTGCCTCAGTCAGCCACGGGTACAGATAACGTGCAGGGCTGCCGCTGAGCCGTATCAGAGGTTGACCAACCTGCCCAACGGTCTGTCTAGTCTGTCTTTGATGCGGCCCGTCTGATAGAGGCCCTCCTCCAAGAGGGTCAGGTAGGATTCTACTGTGCCAGACCTTCCTACCTGGGTAGAAATGTGTACCTTTTAGATCTTGCTGAAGAGGGAGCCACCACCACCCCCATCCCTCCCTGCGCCCCCCACCAGTGTAAGCCACAGCCAGTAGGACTCCTGGTCCATGTCATCCAAAAAAATCAGGGCACTGGGAATGGCTAAGGGAGAATATGATAGGTAGCTCAGGACCCCTGCCTTTGGCTGGCTGGTCCCCCAACCTAGTCCTTTGCAGATTCTGCTACTTCTGGTGGCCCCTTCACTTACAGACTAATGTGGCTTTTCAAAAATAGCTGAGCTCAGCAAACATTTTCACAAATAACAAGGATAAGGAACATAAAAGAAAAATGGAAGGAAATGAGAAAGTTATCCAAACAATACAGTTCTCCTTAAGCAATCACATTGTAGCTCCTAAGGCTATCTTTCAGCCTTCAAAACCTTTCCTAGTATCCTTATATTCTTGGTCCTCAGTTCCCACGTGGGGACGGGCTGTGTGGATACTCCTTCATCATGGTCTCAACCAGAACTTTCTTTCTGGGAAATTGACTGGTTGTAGTTAATGTTCTGTGCCACCTGGATATTTGAGAGGGACCTCCTCTTCAACTAAGGGGAATTCTTACTGTACTGCCTTAAACATGGCTATCAGTTTCCTGTCAGTGTCTGCCAAACAGTGGAGTAATGGAGGGGAAGCTGGACTGCCCTGGAACTTTCTAGGCTGGAACCAGTCATCCTAACTGGAATCTTAACCAGATTTCCTCAGGAAGGACTTTACACTGTGGACTCCACTTTCTTTTCTCTTACTCACCTTTGGACATGTTGCATGCTACCTTTTGCTCCTACCAACACACTGATGCCAGATTCATTGGATTTTTCTCAGCTGTCATCTTGCTTGACCACTCTGTGGCATTTGACCCTAATGACCTGTAATTTAAGCTCAAAAATCAGTTATATATATTCCAGAAAAGGGAAATGTGCTTTTAGGTTGTTTAGGTTGACCACAGGTTGACACAAATTGAGGTCAAAAGTACATGTGTAACTCTGGGTATCTGGTACCCTGAAAAAGGTCCAGAAGCTCTGCCCTCTAGAATGAGGGTAAATTGGTTGAGTCCTGATTCATGGTACATTATCTGCTGTGGAATTCTGGAAGGGCTGAGAAGGGACCCCTGGGGGAGGAGGCTTCCTGGGCCCTCAGATCTTGGGAATATTCTGTAAGGAAGAGATGGAAGTCTCTCTGTCCAGTTTCTAAAGACTCATGGGCAGAAGTTATAGAGAGAGATCTTAGTTCAGTATCAAGAATGGATGTTCTAGAATTGAAGGAGTTCAAAACTACAGCTGATTGCTACGTAAAGTAATGAGTTCCATGTGTGTGGCGATGATCTTCTGGGGAGACCTGATTGCATATTTGCTCAGTAACACTTTCGAGACATTAGCCTGGGCCCTCTGCTTATCCTCCTCCATACTCTTCCCTGTTGATCTGTTCTCGTGGCTTTAATTTCATTTAAATTACATTAATGATTCAGCAGTTTATATCTCCAGTCCAGACATCTGCTCAAAACTGAATATGCGGCCACCTCTGTAGATATCATTCGCCTGCCACATGTCTCATGAGCACTTTGAACTCAGCAGACACTGAGTGCCCACCATGTACCATACATGTACGTAAAGCTGCATTCCCAAATTTGTGCCTCCTTCCAGCAGTGCATCAGGGGTGAGGCAGTAAGCAGTGCACCGTGATTTGGGTAGAGAATTTAGAAACAGCTGTAAAATTGACTAAAATACTGATTTGCTCTGGGTGTCTGATAACCTCTCTCTGCCCCTGCCTCCCTCTTTCTATCTGATTCAGAGAGTAGCATGAAGCTAGCCAAGCCACAAACCTTTGAATTGGGCTCTAGACCACTTTCTCTCATTGGGCCCCACATCCCATTTGGTTGCCAAGGCCTCCTTCACGTCTCATATCTGTTCCTTGCTCATTGTTTCCACAGCCTCTATCTAGCTCTCGGCTACTATCCAGCTTTTTCAGGGTATTGTTTTTGTCGTCCCCAGATAAATCATTGTAAATCACAACTCTTCGGAGGCTCTCCATTGCCTAAGGCCAAGCTCTTCTTTTAGCAAGAAAATCCTATGTTCTGTCCCAGCTAATATTTCTGGTATCTTCCTCCATGTTTTCATGTATCCCAGTGCTCCAACTTAAGGCTGTTTAGTCTGTTTCTTTTATTGTCCATCTCACTGAACAGATTGTGAGCCCCTTAGGGGCAGGGGCTGAGACTTTCGCTTTGAGCCCTAGGTGCCTGTCTATTATTAAACTTCAGTAAATGATTGGTTGAATGGATTTATGCAGGTACAACATCCTATTTACAGGGAAAGACCATTTATAAATTACAAGAAAAAGTAAAAACGGGCTTTTGGTTTAAATTCTGACCTCTTATCCTTTTGCACGGTCTCTTCTCTGTCGGCAGAAAACCTCTTGCTAGAGACTTAAACGTGAACTGGAGCCCCTGCCCAGGTATCACCAACTCACATGCTCCTTCTCTCTCTCCTCCCATCTTAGATGCCTCCTCTCTGCTGTAACAAAACAACTGCAAACTGGTACATTGGAAAGAACATAAGCTTTGGGGTGAGATAGACCTGGGTTCAGTTCTTGGCACTGTCAGTTTTTAGCTGTGGGACCTTCGGTGACCCCTCTGAATTTTATTTTCTCATCTGTAAAAAGTAGGCAATGGTACCTCCCAGTGCCGTGCTGAGGAATCACGTGCCCGTGCAAGTAAGAGCCATAGCGTTCTACAGGCCATCAGAAAATAGTGGCTGCTCATGTTAGTTCGAAGAGAGGCTCCAGGTGCTCACATGTAGATCCGCAGCCCGGTGTCCGGGGTGCTAGAGGTGGGGTGCCTTTCCTGGGCAGGGTGGGACCCGTGGCTAATGGGTTAGCCTTCCGAGGAGGTGTGTTTGCATTTCCTAGATGCACACTCCATATCTGGGACATGGACGTTCCCAACTTGTTCTCTTTTCCTTTTCTTGTAGGCTCCCAGGCCAGTGCCAGTACTTGGGCTTGCCAGTGGCGGATTACTTCAAGCAGTGGATTAATCTGAAAAAGGTACTGTGTCTGAGCCCCATTCGGGTGCTTCCTCTGGGTCTCCTGTGCCTTAGATCCCCTCCCCCCTTGCTTTCTTTATTCTACTCATCTCTGTTCTCTTTTTGTTGTCGCCTTTCTCTTTTTCTTTTTGTTCTCTTTTCTCAACATCCCTCCTTCCTCTATCCTAGCTAACATGCACTGGAAGTGGACCTTTCTGGAAGTGGGGAGCTGTTTGGGGTAGAGTATAACATTGTCCTATGGCGGTGTCATCCAGATGTGCGGAGAAGTCGCAACGAAGGGGACTTTCTCAGTTCTTGCTCAGAACTGAATCACTGGGCTGAGCTGCATTGTCTTTAGGAGAGATGTGGTGCTAGCTGACTGTCTAGGAAAGTATCCTCCTTTGATGTGATCATGAGTGTGGCCTCTGACCATTCTGAGTGGCCCTGGTATCTCCCTCTGGTTAGGAGGTAGAATTGGTTCAGGCTAGCTTTGGTCCTGCATCGCCTCAGCAGAGCCTTGCTCATGTGAGAAGGACCGTGGAAGCTGGAGCCCAATTCCCTTCGAGTATGAGGAAGGAGTCTGGCCCTAATATAGCACCAAGTCCCTGGGGAGTGCATGCTGGGCCTATGGGTTGGGAGGGAACCCCAAGTGGCTACAAAATTAGAACCTGGCAGAGAATGAATTACCCAGAAAACTGTACTTTTCTAATATGTGCTATACTTCTCAGGTAAGCAGAAGAAAGGAGGTGTAGGAATAGACTCCTAAGATAGGGATTCCCATCACTCTGTTGGGTTGCTTCCTTCCAGAGCCCCAGTCTGCTAGAGAGACTCACCCCCATAATTCTCAAGTAAGGGCAACAGCCCTGGAGCAGCCTCAAGAACCCCATGCCGCTGATCAGCTTAGTGACCCCCAGGAAATCAGAGAAGAGAGAAGACACCAGGGGTCAGAGTAGTGGCTCCCAGGGGGGCTTAGAGAAGAGAGAGGTCATTGAAGGGTAAGACTAGGTATTGCAAGGATTTGGGTCATGAACTGGGCATTCAAGGCAGGTGGAATATGAATCTGAAGAGGAAAGAAGACTTTCCAGGCGAGGGGAGCAGCGTGCTTTTGGTGTGTGTGTGGGCTGGAGCTGAGTGAACACGTAGAGGAACAGTAGAGGAGAATGATCCTGGACTTCATTCCGTCCATCTCGGGGCAGCCATTCTTTGTGGCATCATTTGTGAACTCCTTTGCTTTCCTCTGGTACTCAGGTCCTTTACCCTTGGTCCTTGTTTATATTTTGACCTTCACCCACCTCTCCAGCTGACCTCCCTTGGACCTGAGCAGTAGCTACTTACTGCCTTCCATCTGTGGGTAAGGGGCCAGGCTCTGTCCTACCTTCAGGTCTTGGCCTGTGGCCTTACCTCTGCCTGGAGTGCCCCTGGTCACCTTCCTAAAGTGCATTTGCTATTCTTGAGGATTCAGCTCAAGCATCATCTCTTCTGAGAGGTCAGCCGTCAGTCTCTAGTCTTGAGACCCCTTGGCCCTTTAGATATCAGTGACTTTTGAGTATTGAAACCGAGTCCCTCTGTGTTTCCTCACAGACCTGTCCATCTGGAGCACGGAGACTGAGGCTGCTTCCTCTCTGTGTCTGAGGCGGCCAGGCCAGGGCTAGGTACAGAGTACGTGCTCAGCGAATAGTGGCTGGCTGGCTGGCTGATCTTTGAGAGCTGGCTCCACAGGCCCTCTCACGCAGGGCTTGGCGGGGCTCTGCACGGGGGTGTGGCTGGGTCTGCGCTCCTGAAAGACAGCGTGCCAGCTGTCAGCGCGCATCTGAGGCTGCTTGCTGGCCTCAGCAAATGCAATGTGAAGGCCCGGCCAGGCGAAGCGGGCGCTGACCATGAACAATAGCTCTGTGAAGTTCATTAGACTTTTTGGTGTCCAGATAGGTCCCTGCCTCCAGGTTCCTTGGCAGAGAGGCAGGAAAACAGCCGACCCGTGTGTTACCATTGCCACTCGAGGCTACCTTGATGCTGCTGGTGTTGGAGGCAAGCTGTTCTGAGCCTGTTCAGCGTGGATCTCTTTGGACTGTGCCAAGCTATAGGAGGGACATGGGTACCAGTGGAAACTGGAGACCCTGTTCCCAGTTGGCCTTGTGATTGTGTTTAGGTAAACTGAGCAGGTCTAGGAAAAACAAAAGTGGCATGAGGCAAGTGGCATTAGAGAGGCCTAATCCCTTCCTCTCTGCCCTCTAGCCACATCATGTTCCAGATGTACCTGAGAGCCCAGCAGGAGAGATGACTCAGTTCCAGACTTTGGGCCTGTCTTTGCCAGCAGCCATTCCAGACAGAGGGGTTACGGGGCCCTGGAGTTCCAGGGGCATGTTGATCTTTCTGACCTTTTTACAGCATGAGTTAGTGCAGGCTGCACAAAGATTCCTGCTCCCTTAAAAATAGTAACAATAAGAGCCAGCCAGAGAGGTCATTGCCTGGGTTGCATGGGTATTGTGCAACGTATTACTCCGTGCCCTTCTTTCCCCGGGTGTGACCAGGCCCTTACTGTCTCCGGGGCCCTCTCCTGTCCTTGATCTGACTCTTTCCTCCCCACTTTCCTTCCTTTTCCTCTCCTCCTCAACTCCACAAGTAGAACTTTACCCATGGAAAAAGTAGAGGGGTAGGGGTTGTGGTCTGTTTGGCTGCCAAGACTTAGCCATTGAGTGAACTGGGACTGAATTCACCATCCCCATTTCCTAAAGCCTCTCCTGTCCAGAAATGGTGTGCACTGCGTCAGGGAAGAGCAGGTGCTCAGTGGCCAGGCTGCCACACTGCCTGCCTCCACCCACTTCCCTGTAGCAGAGTGAAGCAAGCCAGTGTTTGCTGACATTTGGAGTGTCATTGAATGATCTTACACTCTTATTGAACTGTCAGCTTAGAGAAGACTTGGGGCCCTGTTCCCAGCTCCCTCCAGGAGGTCAGAGCTGTCAGTGAGGAGCCAGAAGAACACACACACACACACACACACACACACACACACACACAGGTGCATGAATATACACGTGTTTACTCAAGTGAATGAATAAACCCAAGTAGGCATATCCAAAATTGTATGTATGTTTCCATTCATACAGATGGGTATAAATATATAGTCACATATTCACCCTCAGAAATATATGGAAATATAACACAGGCACGAATGTTTATACATACTTATTCATAAAGCATGAAGACATGTGTAGATATATATATATAAAAACATACACATCTTCATCAGTAAACACATATTATTGAGTGCCCTCTGTGTTCCAGGTACTGTACTAGGTCTGGAGATACAACAGAAAAGATGGATATTAAATAATTCTAATTGTGTTGTAACACTGCTAAGTTCCAGAGTCATGGCATCATTTCATAAGGGGGCCTGACTTAGGGAGGCAGAGAATGGTTCCCTGAGGAAGGGTGTCTAAGCTGAGATCTGAAGGATGAGTAGGAATTCGCTAACAAGCGTGTGGCAAGGCCCTGAGGTAAGGAGAAGGCTGGGAGCTTCATGGAACTAGAATGTGAATTCCATGAGAGTGGAGAATTTTTGTCTCTTCTGTTCACTGTTCTGTCCTCATCACTTTGAATAGTTCCTGGCACACAGTGATGTTTAGTCATTATTTGTTGAATGATTGACTGCCTGGAGCATAGTGAATGTGGGGAAGAGAGGAGAGTGGTGAGGGATGAAGCTGGAAGGGGAGGCCACACTTGAGATTTTGATCCTTATCCTTACGGTAAAGGGAAGCTATTAAAAGCTACTAAACGTAGGAGAGGTGTCATCTGATGTGGATTTTGAAAAAGCTCTTTCTGGCTACAGTGTAGAGAGAGCTGAGTGTTGATATGGGGGATCAGTACTGGTTTTTCTTAATGGGTCTATAGTTGGCATCTTGGGGTGGGAGAAATTATGGACAACATTGCTGAACTTGTAGCATTCTTGTCCTGCTAGTAGTGCCTTGCTCCAAGTTGTTGCTCCAACCAAAAGTGCTCCATCCCCACCATATGCACATACATTTCCAGTGGCCTAGACAAGGGTGGGAGTGGGGAGGTCCTGTCCCTGGTTGAGAACCACAGAATTAGGCCGTTGCTACAGTCCAGGTAAAAGACGATAGTCACCAGGATTGAACTGATAGGAAATGTAGAAAAATGGATTGATTCTAGAGTGTTAAATGGTACAGTCAGTTCTGCTATAATGCAACATAGACCTTCTTAAAAATCACCGTGCTATGAAAAGTTGTAATAAAAAGTTGCAATAAAAATGGGGTTAGGAGCACAATACTCAAAAACTTCATCAGTGACGAATGAAAAAAGGTAAGAACCTAATAAAAATGGTAGCATAATTTTACACATGTTAAATGGCTAAGAAATACATAAATACTACAAAAGATATGGCTCTCTACCTTGAAAAAAACCATGAAGTTTGCTTGGCAGTAGGCGTGAGAAAGGTTGCAGCTTGTGAGTTATTGCGAAGTGGTAGAAGGAGAGTTCTCTGGAATTGGTTGGAAAGTTGAAGCCAGATGGATGCAGCTTATGACACATGTAGTGTTCTAGGAAGCTACGATATGTTTGAAGTGTAAGCATGTGTGCATTCTGCATATTCTTACACACTCTCTTCAGCTGGGTATACTTTCCTGTGCCTATCTGGTATTGATTATGGACAAAATCACACATAAACAAAGATAAAATTCACAGTCCGCCAGACTGTTTCCTAATACAGTGACTGCATTGAAATGAATGTGCTCTTGCAAAACGGGTGTTATTGCAGAACAGACTATACCATGGACAGGAAAGAGTGACTGATTGGCTGTGACGGTTGATGATGAAGGAGGAAGCCACAATGACTCTTAAGGTTTATGATTTGAGCAACTGGATGAAATGGAAGGAGGAGAAGTTTGGGGATCAGAGGAGAAGATCAGTTGGCACACATAGAATTTAGATGCTTTCAGATGTTCTTGTGAAACTACAGAGTAGTTGAATATATAGGTCCGGGGCTCAGGGATAGGGTCAGATTCAGGG